CAGAGTTATATTTGAAATAGCGGGGAGAGATAAAACTGGCCGGGGATCGGTGGTATAACACTTAGAAGCGAGTCGAGAGAAGATAGTAAGAATATAGGGAGAGAAGATCGAGCAGGGCACCGCTTATTTACTCAAGCCGCGAGTTGATGTATGGTCCGCTGCTGGACGTTGTCGGTGCCTTTCATTCGGCCGCCTCTCGCAGAGACAAGAGATAACCTCGCCTCTGATCAACGACTCTCTACAGCTCTCTAAAGGCCCTCGCTACATAATCCAAGCATGGGGCTGGCATGAATCTCGGAGCCCCCATACGCGGTGGAAACCCGAGGCCCCAGGCGCGGATCGTGTAATGGAGAACCCGAAGATCGTTCCTCTTTCTGGCTTTTCGAGCCGATGCCGGGCCCCGCCGCGCGCACGTCGCTTGCCGCGCGATTCGACCAGCAGCCGGATTTTACTGCTAACGCGATAATTAAAGAGGAATGAACAGCGCGATTTACGGTACCTAATGTGCCGCGGTGCTGCTCGTTAACTACACTCTAGTTGGCTAATGTGACGTAATAGTACCGCGAAACGAATGAAACTCGTTACCGTAGGCTTTATCCTAGGGACAGATGGATTCGGAGATGGACTGGACACTCGAGATTTCTCGCGAGAAAGTGCATTCCCTGATTGACAAACGAGAAACTGAACAACACGTGCGTCGTTTGTGTTATTTGGGATGGGATGGGATATTATTTCTTAGATTTGTCGTATCTTTTGTTGTCGGAATGAAAAAAATGTACCTATTTCGTGTTATATGTCTACATACGTGGATATATCGTCCTGTCACTTATTATCGTATCTCGATGCTATTTATTTAATTTATTTGACGACAACGGTTTAAATCCGATTGAAACTCGACGGACAGACGAGGAAGCAAAAAAATTTTAATTACTGCAACATATCTGTTTTCGAGATTGACACTTGATACGTGTCGGGGAATTGTTTAAGATATAGAACAAACGTTGAAATCCCCGGAATAATCGAGTGAAAAATATTCGAAAAAAATTTGTGCGAGATAGTGTAACAGTTTACTTGCTTGTAAATCCGAGCCTGCCTAGGTAGAATCTATCGGTAGGGATGGGATCAAGTCCAATATGTGCTTACGAATTCCAGTCAAGTTCGATATTTAGGATACGTTTCACGAGTTTCGAACGTTATCCGAAAGTAAAAATGTTTTAACGAGTATAATACCTGCAATGTATTTATTTGCTGATGTTTGTAAGATTCAAAACATTTCCGAGCAGTAAGTACTCGAATCATGATTCTGCAGATACATATTTTTGTATACAGAGTTGAGAAGCTTATCCATGTCGACAAAAAATCTGCCACGTTAAAAATCATTCATTCGTAACATTCCTCGGGGATTCCTCTAATTAAAAAGATCATCATCAATTGCTTTTAAATTAATTATCTTCTTCTTTATTAAGTTCAAGTTGCAGCTGATATTTCACATTAATCAGCCGCGCATGCGCATTAGACACGCGTGCGTCAGGTGCATGCGCAGTAGACACATCACACGTCGGAGGCATGCGCGCATGCGCAGTAGACGTATTACACGTCGGAGGCATGCGCGCATGCGCAAATCGCGTATAGAAAAACAAGAACACGCGCCGTCCGACAGAATGGTGAATCTCCGAGACGCTGACGCTCATAGAAATTTTCGCGTGAAACGTGAGGTACTCGATCCCATCTCTAACTATCGGAGTCCGGCTACGGACAAGGTTCTCGGTGTAATGCGTGTGGCGCTGCCCACGGGGATATACATGAATTAAGCGACGGTTATTGCCCAACGAAACGCACGTTGGAAGTTTATCACTGGAACTCATACACGCGCATGGCGCTTGTTAACACGCCTGCTTACCGTAAGATTACGCAGTATAACATAACCCCGGAGAGCAAACAAAATAACGCCGTCGTACGATGATTTTCACGGCGCATTCCTTTATCGCGATCAGATGTTCCGCGCCGATTCGACTCGAACGGGTACACGTGTACCAGCCTCTGCCTTTCCGCGGGGTAAACGTTCGCCCGGCCGTCATAATGATGTCATCGTTCGATGCGCTGGCTCCGCCCGGCAAGTACGTATTTCAGAAACGTACTCTTTATTACACTGCATGCACACGCCGTATAGCACGCGGCAAAACCGATAGACGCGGCACCGACCGCCGTCGTTTCCGCCGTCGTACATCGCCGCCGTCGTTGAAAAAGTCGCGCGTCCGTGCAATTTTTCATCCGACGCGCAACGTCTTTATAAACCGCCTTCCATGTGTGTATATATATTTTTCGTTTCGATCGCGGCCGTTGGATAAACTGTTATTGAGGTACTCGCGCACGGATAAAAATTCTCCTCCTCCTGATGATAAAACCTTGTTTAAGCAGTCGTTACTAGGAAAAAAAATCGTAAAGAAACGTTTCTGCGAGATAAGGGAAACCGTTTGCCGACTTTATTAACCTCTTGCGCGCGGCGCGGCGCGGTCGCGCGGCGGATATTGGCTCCCATATTCGGGTCCAGTAAAAGAAGTTGCGATTCATGTTATCGAGAATGAACTTTCCGATGAAATATCTTTCTCCCATCGTGTTGCTTCCTTCTTTTTCATTATTGCAACATTTACAACGCGCAAACACACACGTGGATTTCGTTCGTCGAAATTGTAAGCACGTCTTCCACGGATATATACTTTCGCCGTAATGGCGATGATTAGTTTACGATAATGCGAACAACGAATGGATTTGACACAGCTTGGTTTCCAGCTAACCGCAGAAAACTCGAGGCACGAAACGCACATGCACGTATCGTAGCGTGTGGTCTAAAGTGGAAGCGCTAGAAGATCCGATGAACGATTACAAGATGTCTAATATGGCTGTGGTCACGGAGCGGCGTACAAATAATGCGAGCAATGCAAACAGGAGAAACTGGTGGGAATGTTGCAAAATACGGTCGAATCGAATCTCGGTGTAAGAGGGAAGAGGGAGGAGAGGGGGGGGGGGAAGTTGGAATTCTCACGGGCTGGCTACCGATATAACCGGTAACAATGGAAATGGACTTGGTGGGTATTGAGTGGCCCCCACAAGTGGTCGAACATTCCAACATCGAATCGCCGGTGGAGTTCGAAATGTGAACATACACGCATTGCTGAACGAAGACCACAAGTGCAGTTTCGCGCCCCGTTTCTCGTATGCATGCATACCGCATTGCTAACAGATCGGCCAATTTTCGACGGCGATATGTTAAGACCCCCTACAATGTAATGGCTCCAAATCCTCGGAATACGGATATCCACGAAGGTCTTTCGCCTCTGAAACGTAGTAGTATTACCGATTTCAGTCCTTCTGATATTCCGATGTGGTTTCCGTTACAACGCGAACGGTGTCACAGATTGCTCCCAAAATCCTGGCGAAAGAGGCTGGCCGGGTGCTATTATTATTCATCGTCTAAATGATAACTCTGTTATCTTTCTTCTTATCCCTCTGTTACATTAAAAAAAAAAAAAAAAAAAAAAAAAAAAG